GTGCAGGTGTTAAAGTCTCAACGCTATCAAGCTATCAGCAGACACTACTGCCTGAGTTCAATCCCTAGCCAGGGAGCTGACCCACATGGCACAGCAGACCTCTCCTGTTTCGCCGCCTGCTGCTCCTCTCAGCAGTGTACTTCAGTAAATCCGCCTATTGTGTCTTTGATGAATCCTCTCATCCCCGCACCTCTGGCCTACACCCTACTTCTTTTATGTGCAAATAATAAAAAAATAAATCTTTTTAAAAAATAGAAGAATTAATAGACGTTTCTCCAAAGACGCACAGATGACCAATAGGTACATTAAAATATGCTCACCATCACTATTCATCAGAGAGTTGCAAATCAAAACCACTTCACATCTGTGAGAATGGCCCTTATCAAGAAAACCAGAAACTACAAGTTTCATCAAGGATGTGGAGAAAAAGAAAACTTCATACACCGTTGGTGGGAATGTACATTGGTCCAACCCCTATGGAAAACAGAGCAATGGCCATTCCTTTTTTACTTTATGAAATTCTGGGAAGTGGTATGCTGCTTCAAGTGAACAGGAACAACAGCAATTTACAGTATAAAGAAGTTCCCGATTCTATGAAATTTACCTCCACTTCAACAATATTGAGTAATATTTAGTGTTAATGTTACATGATTTGAATTAACTTGTAACATGATTTGAATTCCCCTTCTTCGGAGGGGAATAATTTTAAATACCCTGGTATTTTTTTATTAATACGTATTCTGAAATATTTTATGTCTTACACTATTAAGTTTTGACTATCCAAGAATATCCTATATAACCAGTAATCCTTTTCTTATGATTTATGCTTAAGATTCAACTTTCAAGTTTGCAATTTCTTAATCTTACCATATTAATGTCATTACTGTGTGAAACTGCACACTTGCCAAAATACTTAGCATTAAAATTTTTTTGAAAATTTAATTTACAAAATATAGTTTTCAAAGTGTAATTCATTCCTTTTTAAGCAGGTTTCCTGTATGTATGCTGAATACTGAATAGACCTCTAGTATGCTGTTTATCTTGTTACATAAAGCTGCCAAAATTATAATGAATATGCTGTTTAAAACTGTGTTGTCTTGGGCCTCCCCGGTGGCGCAGCGGTTGAGCGCTGGGTTGCGAAGCTGCCCGCGGTGTCTGCGGCGCCAGTTCAATCCCCGGCTGCTCCCCGGCCACTGGAGGAGGGTCCCACATGGCCCTCAGACCTCTCCTGCCTCCCGCTGCTCCCCTCAGCAGTGTACTTCGGTCCTACTGCCTGCTCTGCTCCCCGCTCTGGCTCTGGTGAATTCTCTCACCCTCCCGCGCTTCTGACTGTACCCAGTGCTTGTATAAATAAATAAATAAATAAATAAATCTTTAAAAAAAAAAAAAAACTGTGTTGTCTTTAACATTAATGTTGAATTAAAATGGTTAAAGATAGGAGAAAGTGAAAAAAATCAGGAACATGACAAGGATACCCACTGTCACCACTTCTATGTAATTTAGTATAAGAGGTTTTGGCTAAAGCAATGAGAAAACAGGAAATAAAGGGAATACAAGTTGGAAAAGAAGTTAAATTATCATTATTTTCAGAATATATTATATATAGAAAATACTAAAGACCCCGTCAAAAAGCTACTAGAAACAATAAACGAATACAGAAAAGTATCAGGTTACAAAATGAACATATTCTATTAGACTGTTGGGAATATAAACTGGTGGAGTCATTTTGGAAAGCAATCTGAATTTACCTTAATAACTAAAACTGGAAATACCATATGACCCAGCAATCCCACTCTTGGCTATTTATCCAAAGAACATGAAACCAGCAATTCAAAACTCTACATGCTCTTCAATGTTTATTGCAACTCTATTTACAATAGCTAGGACACGGAAACAACCCAAGTGCCCACTGATGGAGAACTGATCAAAAAAATGTAATATATCCACACAATGGAATACTATTCAAACATAAGGAAAAACAAAATGTTCCCATTTACAGCAAAATGGAAGGAGTTTGAGGGAATTATGTGTAGTAAAGCAAGTCAAAATGACAAAAGCAAGTACTAGACATTTGCCCAGAAATGGATTCAACAAAGCAAAATACTCATAGAAAGCAGTAGACACTAAAAAAAGGTTAAAGGGGGGGGGATGAAAGTGGTGCTAGGAATGGTGGGGAGGAATGTTTGATTCTCAAAATTATTTTTAAAATACTGAAAAAGAGGGCCTCCCCTGGTGGCACAGCGGTTTAGCACTGGGCTGCGAAGCTGCGACAGCCTCTGCAGCACTGGTTCGATCCCCGGCCACTGGTGAGGGTCCCACAAGGCACGCAGACCTCTCCTGCCGCACCCGCTGCTCCCCTCAGCAGTGTATTTCGGTCCTTCTGCCTGTTCTCTTCTCAGCTCTGGCTCTGGTGAATCTTTTCACCCTCCCACACTTCTGACTGTACCCAGTGCTTGTACAAATAAATAAATAAATCTTTTTTAAAAAATACTGAAAAAGAAACTTTAATTTGAAAGGGAGTGTGGGTCAGCAGAATAGACTAACAACTCATGATTTTAGTTCAAGAACTGGAGCAACCACACACACAGAAAATGTTGTAGTAGCAATAATGTAGAAGTAGCAGCTATTTTATTATAAGTCCATGACACTTTAGAGAGAAAAAAACAAAAATTTATTTATCCAAGAATTAAATTGCTCTGACAGAGAGCAGAAATATGAATAATATTGTAATGTTTATATGCATACAATTTAACTAGTTCTATTAATTACTAATTGTTTTTAATTAGTCCTATTGCTTTGTTTCAATAACAGCATTTGTGTTACAGGAAAATTAATTTTAAGTGACAGTTTTCTCATTTTTATAGTAACACACATGTATACAACTGCTCGTTATATATTGAGTCTTTTCATCTAGTACAGCTGTGTCTCGGGTTTGCTCTCTAAAGATTGGTCATCCCCAATGGTATTGTATCACTCAGGTGGGGGAAAAAGATGTAATGAAGATATATTTATAAACTGCACAGACAAGAACACTAGCAGGTAAACAGTGGTACCTTCTGCGACAGAAAAATGAGAGGCCGGGACAAACCAGAGATACTTCCTTTTCCTTGTTTTTAAATATAAATTAAATTTTTTGTACTCTATGAATATACTCTATGCATTCAAAAGGAAGGAACTTGTCTTATGTAGAGATTACCAAGCATGTGCAGAGAATGGTGCTTGCGCACTGTGAGAATCAGTACTGCCACTGGAAACAATGTTCAGAACAGGTGGGTCTTGCAGAAACTGTGCAAAGGTAAAGACAGCTGATGAGTGGTCTTCTGATTAGATCAGACCAATGAGGTAAAATGGTTTACAAACTGAAGGGCCCATTAGGCTCCAGATATCGGTATGATTGTGTGTGCATGCGTGTGTGTGTTTGTGTGCAACCATTTGAGGGTTTTAAGGAAAGGAGTACAGTGCTTTCGTTGATGACAAAGCGATTCCTATGGTTGTGTGAAGAATGTCGGGGAGCACTATTTCAGGAACCTATTTCTGTAGTTTGGTAAGACTATTGGCTTACACTGTGTATGGTAGTACTGCATGAAGATGTGGAGACACTGATAGACATGTGACTTTGGAACGTGGTACTAGATTGTGAATTGTTGAGGAAAGAGAGAGTCTAATATGGCTCACTGCTGCTTCCGACTTGAATGGCTCAAAGTGCCTTTTCCTGGGATGGGGACGGCTAGGGAGTTGGTGGATTGTAGGGGAGTAACAGAGAGTTCTGTTTGGAACGTTTTAAGTAAGAGACCATTAACTGATGCAAGTTTTCAGAAAGTCAGACTGTTCTGCGGAGGGGGTGGAGGCAGCACCCAGGAGGCAAGTGAGGGTCCAGGGCAGGCCACAAGCTGGACAGAGAGGGAACTATTCAGGGCCAAGGGACAAGGTGGGGGTGCCTCCACACGGAATCTGCAGGCCATCAAAAGCTTCCATTTTTCAGGAGTATGAAATGGGACAAGACTTTGTGGTGAGAGCTGATCAAAGGCTCAGTGTGGAGAGCAAGCTATAGCATTGCCAGATTTACCAAATAAAAATACAGTTGGGGGTTAAAAGAGAAGGTGGTTGGGGAAAAAAAAAAAAAAAACCACGAGAAAATACCACCTTGAACATTTAAGGTCAAATATTAATTAGAACTGTGAGTCTCCTGGCAAAGGGATACGTATACATAATTTTTTAAAAGATTTATTTATTTATGCATACAAGAACTGGGTACAGGCCAGAGACAGGGGGGAGGGGTTGAGTGGATCCACCAGAGACAGAGTGGGGAACAGAACAGGCAGACTGGCTGAAATCCACTGCTGAGGGGAGCAGTGGGCGAGACAGGAGAGGTCTGCCGTGCCATGTGGGTTGCTCCCTGGCCGGCCAGGGATCCAACTCTTGCTGGGGATCGAACTCATGCTGGAGTCTGCGGATTGCTTCCTAGAGCAGTGTTTAATCCCTTGCGCCACCAGGGAGGCCCATAATTTTTTAATTTTTTAAATGAAAGTGTAAAGTTGAATATTTTTCAAAATTAAAGAGCCCGGTTAAATTTGAATGTCATATCAACAACACATAATTCCGTAGTACAGCTATAGCTAGTGTAATATTGGGATAGGCTTATACTAAAATCTTATTCGATATTTTATCTGACACTCAAATTTAACTGGGTGTTCTGTATCTGACCAAGCAGCCCCACCACAGAGGCAGGGGAGGCAGGCCACTGCAGGCATTCCAGCGAGACGGAAGGAGCCAGGGGGGCACAGAGGAGGTGTGAAAGGGCCTCCCAGGAAAGACGACGGTGGCCCACTTGATGCTCTTTTCGGGAGAACGGCTGTGGGAAGACGAGGTTCTTAGCCCGTTCGAGTGCTGCCCAGCTCCCTGCTGGCTACCCTGCCGCCCTCCGCCGCCACCTAGCTGGGGAGCTGCGGCCAAGCGGCGGCTGGAGGGGCCGGTGCAGTAGCCCCGCCTTCGCACCCCGCAGGGGTGGAGCCTGAGCGCGGAGCCCTAGAGCTGCCCTCTCTCCCCGGATGAAGAGTCGCAAGATAACATGGAGTCGGGTAAGATGGCGCCTCCCAAGAGCGCTCCGAGAGATGCGTTGGTAAGTGTGAAGGGTGAGAGGCGGGGCGCGCAGCTCCGCGCAGCCAGGGACTTGGGAGGGAGACCCAAGTAGGGCCTGAGGGTGGGCTGGCATGCCTGCTTCAGCTCTGCAGGCGGCCGGGAGAAGTGGGAGACGGGGGTGTCCTGGCCCCTGGGGCGCCCTCCCGCCACCCCAACAACCCCGCCAGAGGGAGGCTGCCAGCCGCCCCGAGTGCGCAGGCCAGCCGTCGGGCTTTGTCTTCCGGGCCTCCTCTTCTCTCCCAGTCTGAGCGCCCTGACTTACGTGCCGGGTTCTGATGCTAGCTTCCCCTAGCCCCACGTCCGAAAATGACAGCCAGCGGTAGCCTCCCTGACATCTGCTGGAAAAGCCTACCCGGCCTTTTTCTTCTCTTTGCCTCCACCCCGCCAAAAAAATTTAAAAATTTTCAGCAAAGAAGGTTAAACTGGACTTGGTGTGATCTGACACTATCTTGGGAGGGAAAGGATGAATAGGAGTTTGGAACACAGAAGAGGACCTTGTATCATAAATATAAATACTGCCTTCGGTGGAGTCTTGATTTCCAACACCTAGATTACACATCTGGTGTTTTTATTTGAATCCACAGGTGATGGCACAGATCCTGAAGGATATGGGAATTACAGAGTACGAACCAAGGGTTATAAATCAAATGTTGGAATTTGCTTTCCGTAAGTTAACAAAACACCAAAAATTTGCCTAACTTGTAAATATGAAACGATCATTAAGAACATTTTCAACCACATTACTATAACAGTTAATATAGAATTTAGCCTAAAACAGTAAAAAGAAGCTCAAGCTAGAGGACCAGTAGTAATATTACTGTCATATGTTTAAAATTAATCTCATAGATAGGACAATTAAATATTAGAACCAGAATTCATAAACTTTCTAGAAATCAGTGAAACCTTTCATTAAGAAAATTGTCCACTAATATTAAGCTGTTTTCATATTTTTAAAGTAAAAAACATTTTGTCTTTAAAGGATATGTGACTACAATTCTGGATGATGCAAAAATTTATTCAAGCCATGCCAAGAAACCTAATGTTGATGCAGATGATGTGAGACTGGCCATCCAGTGTCGTGCTGACCAATCTTTTACCTCTCCTCCCCCAAGAGATGTGAGCAAACTTTTATTTGAAGTTCATTTTACTTATAGTTTTTTTCAATTGTAGTTATAGTGTTTTTTTTTTGTTTTTTTGTTTTTTTAGTTTTTACTGGATATTGCAAGGCAAAAAAATCAAACCCCTTTACCACTGATTAAGCCATATGCAGGACCCAGACTGCCACCTGACAGATACTGCTTAACAGCTCCAAACTATAGGCTGAAGTCCTTAATTAAAAAGGTAAGAATTTTATTCAGCTTCACTTTTTAAAAAGGTGAGATGTTTTAGGGAAATTTATACAAAACAGATTCATTATAGTGTGGTAGATTAAAGGCTAAGATGATTTAATAGGATTTTTTAATTTATTACCTTGAAAATAATCATGTCTCCAATTATCTAATATGTTAAAATATAAAATATGAGATCAGAGGTTTTTAGAGCCAAATAATGTTCATCTAACCACCACTTATATTTCACATCAGGAAACTGAATCAGAACTCCTTTACGATATTAGTGTCAAAGCTAGGGCCAATTCTCAGGTTTTACAATTCCCTGTTCTTCCACTATACCATAGTTTTTTAGTGAAGTTCAATAACAGAGTAAGTTATATACTATCAGGAATTGGACTTGTTTCTGAAATAGCACCTAAGTTTCTCCCACCACTATAAAAGTTCTCCCCACATTGTGCTGCCTTTATTGTCTGAAATTATAAAAGGGTTTACTTCTTTTTGGGTCAAGATATTGACTTGTTAAGATTAAAAAATCATAAGGCAATTACCTGCGATCCCCAAATAAGACTTTACCTTAACCTTAAATACTATATAGAATATATATATTCATATTCATGTTTATATAGATAGATGTAGTTGTTTGTGAAAACCTTAGTTTAAATGTTGGCTTTAGAACACTGATATAATTGTATCTAGATGAGCAGATAGATGTTAACTGACCCTATTGTGGTAATCATTTCACAATAGATATGAATCAGTTTATGCTATATACCATAAACTTATACAATGATGTATGTCAACATTTTTTTAATAAAACTGGTGGTGGGGAGAATGCTGACTGTCTTGCCATGGATTATCCATTAATAATTCACATCAGGGGCCTCCCTGGTGGCACAGGGGGTTAAACGTCAGCACTATGACGCAATCTGCAGCTACTGCAGCACAAGTTCAATCCCCAGCCAGGGAAGTGACCCACATGGTGCAGCAGACCTCTCCTGTTTCGCCCGCTGCTCCCCTCAGCAGTGTATTTCAGTCAGTCTGCCTGTTCTGCTCCCCACTCTGTCTCTAGTGAATCCTCTCACCCCCCATCCCACCTCTGGCCTCTACTCTGGTTCTTGTATGCATAAATAAATCTTTAAAAAAATAATTCACATCAACAATCCTAATTTCATTCCTGATGTCCAATTATAACATTGAATCTAATTTGTTTTTTAAATCCCCTAGGGACCTAACCAGGGAAGACTAGTTCCAAGGTTAAGTGTTGGTGCTGTTAGTAGCAGACCTACCACTCCTACTATAGGTAAGAAGGGGAAAATGGCTTTTCTGCCTAACTAAGAAGTACCTTATGTAGCACTTGATCTTGAACTGTATTCCAAATTAAAAGGTGAATCAAATTCCCATTTATGTGTTGCCATTGATATATTTACATATCTAATAAAATTATTAAAAACATGTTTTATCAGATTTCAAAATGAGAAAGCCACAGACATATCTGGTCACAAATGAGTATAAAATTGGACATTGCACAATATTGTTGCTTTTGCCTGTTGTACAAATAAAGTTGCCACCTGGCAATAGCCTACTTATTTATCAGAAATTAATTTCTGAGTAAACTGGCAAGAAAATGCAGAGAAAAGGAAAAGTTTTAAATGTACAAAAAGCTTAAGAGTATCAATGGAAAAAAAAAAATTTAAAGTAGTACTGATAGGGCCTCCCCTGGTGGCGCAGTGGTTGAGCACTGGGCTGCGAGGCTGCCCGCAGCCTCTGCAGCACAGTTCGTTCCCCAGCCACCGGTGAGGGTCCCACAAAAAAAAAAAAAATTCTCCTAAAGTAGTTCTTGATAGTCCTATATTGGCCAGTGCAAGCCCCTTCAGGCTGTCTCCTGTGTCTGATTTGACAAGTCTCCATCATCCTTTGAGTGTTTCTTACTTGCTGGCATAAGATGTCCTAAGCTCATCATATTTTTTCCTTACCCAAGTCACAGAATCAGCTATTTCTTCAAATCTGCTGTATCTTTTTAAATGGAAAATAATATTTAGAAACCATTATTTGTTTCTTTCTAATGCTATTGTTTAAATAAGGAAAACAAAAATAACAAATTTAGATTTCCTGATTTTTTTCATTCTAGTTCCTGCTGGACTTCTTTCATTATCAAAGTATGTTAAAAAAAAAATCCCCTCCGCTTCGACCAGTATTGATTTCTCAGCTCATATTGCTAATAAATTAAGTCCTACAGGTGTTATATAGCCCTAGTGTAAGCAGCATTTGATTTTTGAGGTATGTAGACAATCTCTTCATAGAATTCTCAGAAAGTGAATTTACATTTCAGTATTTTAAATCCAGTCTGGTATAGTATTATACACTCATAATTACCTGCATGTGACCTTCTGGATAGAAATTTACATATGTATGGGCCTCCCTGGTGGTTCAGGGGTTAAGCACCACACTATGAAGCAATCCGCAGCCTCTGCAGAACGAGTTCAATCCCCGGCCGGCCAGGGAGAAACCCACATGGCGAAGCAGACCTCGCCTGTCTCGCCCACTGCTCCCCTCAGCAGTGTATTTCAGTCAGTCTGCCTGTTCTTTTACCCACTCTGTCTCTGGTGAATCCTCTCACTCCCCTGCATCTCTGGCCTGTACGCCAGCTCTTGTATGCATAAAAAGATAAATCTTAAAAAAAAAATAAATTTGCATATGTAATTTGCAACTTTTTGATCATATACTTTTTCTGTGGATTCATAATACTTGAGTATGAATTGTTTAAAAACTGTAGGCTGTGGTAAACAGTTACGCGTTTTGACAGCTTAACCAATTTTCACTATCAGTTGTGATTTTTATTCCTAGTTTGGCATTTATTGTAAATGTTTTAGCGATTTTTAAAATCTAGAAGGAGGGAACTGCTAAAAACTATTAAAGATGTAGTTTTAAATAAACTTTTAAAAAGTTTGAAATGAATTTTACAAAGCGTAATACCTATGCATATACTATTATTTTGTCTGGTTACAGTGTACTTTATTGATGGCACATGACAAAACAAGGTTTCCCAAGCCCCTCCCCTTCTCCAGGGAGTCAGGGATGGAACTATGACAGGTCAGGACTTGTGTTTGAATGAGTAGGGAAAGGACTGCCCAGCAGCTGAAGGTGCCTCTTTCCTCTTATATTCTTGCTGGAACTGGTGGTCCTTGGGGTTCTTACTTTTTTGGACGCCATGTGGACCATGAGGTCCACCATCTCGTTGCTGTAGCCAAATTCATTGTCATGCCAGGAAATGAGCCTGACAAAGTAATCATTGAGGGCAACGCCAGCCCTAGCATCAAAGGTGGAGGAGTGGGTATCACTGTTAAAAATCACAGGAGACAACCTGGTCGTCACTATAGGCCAGGATGCCCTTAAGGGGGCACTGTAACACCTGTTTTACTGCCTTCTTGATGTCATCATATTTGGCAGCTTTCTCCAAGCAGCAGGTTAGAGCTACACCCAACACGTTGGGGGTAGGAACATGGAAGGCCATGCAAGTTGACTTCTCATTCAGCTCAGGGATGACCTTGCCCACAGCCTTCGCAGTGCCAGTAAAAGCAGGGATGATGTCATGAGCCATCACGCTACAGTAGGTTCCCAGATTGGTCATCCATAGTCTTAGAGGGAGTAATGGGATGGCCTGTGGTCGTTAGTCCTTCCATGATGGATGACGTTGGCCGTGGGGCCAAGCAGTTAGTGGTAAAGGAGGCATTGCTGACAACCTTGAGAGAGTCGTCATACTTCTTATGGTTCACACCCACCACAACCATGGGGGCATCAACAGAAAGGGGCAGAGATGATGACGGGTTTGGCCCCAGCCTTTTCCAAGGTAATGAAGACACCAGTAGACTCTATAACATTCAGCACCAGCATTACCCCACTTGACGTTGGCAGGATCTCGTTCCTGGAAAATGGAGATGGGACTTCCTGTTGGTGACAAGCTTCCCATTCTCAGCCTTGACTGTGCCATTGAACTTGCCATGGATGGAATCATACTGGAACATGTAGACCATGTAGTTGAGTTCAATTGAAGGGGCAGTGATGGCAACAGTATCCTCTTTTCCAGAGTTAGAAGCAGCCCTTTTAATCTGGCCAAATCCCTTCACTCTGACCTTCACCATGGTGTCTGAGGGACATGCAGGGAGGAGCAGAGGCTCTGTTCAGTTTTAAAGCCTAAGTTCCATACCTATTTAAATGTAAATGGTTCCTTATGGTTGTGACCAAGAAAACCCTACCTTTGGTTTTCTTTTGACAAAATACTTACATTGCTTCATTAAGCTTCACCAAACTCTTTGGACAGCTCCTTTTAAATAGATGAGAAAACTTACCTACGGATGAAAATATGTTAAGAGTAAAGTCTCTTAACTTCAACTTTTCTGGGTTTGAGAGAAGTAACACTAGGGGGCCTCCCTGGTGGCCTAGGGGTTAAGTCTCAGTGCTATCACCACTAAGGCCTGAGTTTGTTTCCCAGCCAGGGAGCTAACCCACATGGCTCAGCAGACCTCTCCTGTCTCGCCTGCTGCTCCCCTTGGAATGTATTTTCAGTAAATCCACCTATTCTGCTCCCCACTCTGTCTCTTGTGAATCCTCACCCCCACCCCCACACCTCTGGCCTACAACCCAGTTCTACGTAAAAAAGAAATAGCACTAGAACTGAGGAATTTTAGCTTTCCTCCCCTGTTTAGGCTTTCCTCTCCTTTGTACCTAGAAAAGATAGTTTTTTTCAGCAACTTTCCCTGAGTAGACTGTTGGCTCCAGGGAATGGGATGCATGGAAAGCCTCCATTCCCAAAGGAAAAACTGGGAGAACAGACACATTTCCATAAATGTATTTTTGGGAAAGCTATGAAGTCTTGAGCCTTGAAAAATTCAGTCATTAAGCAAACATTTCTTAGTGCCTATTAGGAGCAATGTACAAAAGCCATATGCTCACAAGGATAAAAAAAATGTCAGCCAAGGCTTATAATTTAGTGACTGAGATAAGATACTAAGACTGCTATGATGTGTTAAGGGACAGAGGCAGACAATTACTGAGAAAATCAAGGAAAGTTTTATAAAATGAGGTGATATTTTGAGTTGTACCTTGGAACAATAGGTAGAATTTAGATGGGGGGGAGCGAGGGAATGGGTGTTAAACTAGGTTATCTCCAAAAGCCCTTTCTGCTTAAAAAAGTCTCTGAATATAGAAAAGGAATGATACATTGGGGGCCCCAAGGGTGTATTTCATAGACTATTCTGTCCAATGCATGTTGATTTAGCTTCATGGCATAATAGACATCTTCTGATTCTCAGCAAGTGTTAGAGATTAAAAGTGCCACCTAAAACTTGAGCCTTCATTCTGCTAATTTACTCAACTTCACATAGCTAAAACAATGCCAGGCACTGTTTGAAGAGCTTTACAGATTGTTTTAATTCTCGTAAGACTCATAAAATTAGTTATCCCCATGTAACAGATGATGAAACAAGGAACAAAAAAATTTCAGTAATGTCCCCACTGACACTCAGCTAGTAGGTGATAAAGCCTGAATCAAACTAAAGCAAATAGGCTCAAGAGTCTACATCCTTTACACTGTCCTGAATTTTTATCATCTAAACTATTGAGCTTGGAAAGTTTTGAAGTTATTTTTCTCTTCACATTTTTTTCTACCTTTCATTAGTTCCCTTAATTTGAAGGGTATTCTCTAGTAAACTAACTAATGCAGAATATAAACCTATAAAAGTCATCTAACTATAACATGGTTTCGTGGTTTGTCAACTGTAACTACAGCGACCCCACAAACGGTGTCTGTCGCAAATAAAGCTGCAACTCCAGTGTCAGTGACAAGCCAAAGATTTACAGTGCAGATTCCACCTTCTCAGTCCACACCTGTCAAATCAGGTAATGTGATTGGCTGGTGGGGGGCGGGGGCGCGGAGGGAGGATAAGTGGTTCCTTTAAAATATTGCTTGAAATTTAATTTTTGTGGATAATTTGCCATCATAGAATTTATTTTCCTACAGCAAGAGTTAAAAGTGTTATAATGGGATGGTGACAGTAATGCTGCAAAAAGGTTCTCTTCACAAAAAGTCTAAAATTATGAAATTTTATATATGTATGCAACATTTTCATAGAGAGGGGGGAGTGTTCAGTGTGATCAGCAGATTCTCAAAGAATACTGAATTAAAATGAGTGTCCATAGATCTAAGTCCTCTTCAGGAAAAGCATTTAGGGTTAAGCTCAAGAAAATCATACAATCTAATGTGCACCACATGAGAATTCTATCTTTACTCACTTCATGGAAGCATACATATAAAGCTGGGATAAGTAATAGCATACTTTATTAATACATTTGGTTTCCCATCTTCTGAAACCTAACTACAAATAACTTACATAAAATACTGGCCATAAGGGAAGCATGATTCATGGTCTTAAACATATGCCTTTAGTATGTTTTATGATGAATCCAATGCACTGCTTCCATAATTAACCTATTAAGTGGTAATAGGTAAATTAGGAAAAAACAGAACTTCTTTACCTGTATACCAGGTATTAAGTACATTAAAGGTGTTAAAAAATTTAATTCAACTCTTAATGCAGTATAAATTACCTGAGTTTCTTCTGTGATATAGCTGCACTTCATGCTGTTGAATTTATTAGCATTGCATTCAGTTTTATTGCCTACTTACTATGTTTTTGATTCTGGCTAATTCATAGTTTGGGATATTTGCTCCTCTATTTACAGTTCCTGCAACAACTGCAGTTCAAAATGTTCTGATTAATCCTTCCATGATTGGGCCCAAAAATATTCTTATTACCACCAACATGGTTTCATCACAGAACTCAACCAATGAATTAAACCCATTGAAGAGAAAACACGAAGATGACGACGATAATGATACTATGTAAGGAATATAGTCTAGTATTGATGCATTTCAAATGTGTAGTTGGTTTTGAGCCTTGTATACTGAGTAAGAACATTCTAGATCCTCTCGTTTTATTTTAGAAATGGTAAATGTAGCTGCAGTATTTTTCTTGATGGTTAAAATTCTTAGATTTCTTAATTAAGGGTACCAATGTTTTTTCATTAGGCTTCAAGTACAAAAAGTATTTCTTTTGTAATAGTTTCACTAACTGTTGAGTCCTACTGTGGCAATTCTATTTTTGGAAACAGTTTCCTGCCATGTGTCACTAATAGTAGCACCTAAGATTCAGTTTCTACAGTCTCAGCAGTGGACTAACCTTTAACAGCATTTCTTAAACTATATTTAAATAATTTTTAAGGTGAAATAGTCACTTTTATTGCCACCAACTTTTTGGACCAAATCTTTCAAATTAAGGAAACATTTTTGGAGAAGACAGACTTGGAGGGATTCCAAATCCATTGTGAATATATTTAAGTTGTTTTTTGGTATTCCCTTAATTTCCCTCCTACTCAATTCCATGTCAAGATCCCACTCATTTTCTGCACCTCCCCACAGGCTGAAGTTTTTCCCCATTGCACTTAAAATGCCAAAATAATAATTTAAAAAAATGTGTCATTCCTGATCATACAACCCAGTGTCATCTTCATATCTTTAAAGCCTGCTTTAAAAATGCCTGTACTGATTCACTGTAATGGCATTTGTTTGTTTTTCTCTATATCAGAACAGTTGGGTTTCATCCCTTGCCTTTTATGCCCGTTAAGCTTTACTCTAACAGGTAGTTTTTGGGTCAGTTACATTCAGTTTGTCTTATATCCCAGGTTTGTAACTGCACCCTATTTCACATTTATAAATTTAACATAGAAAATGCCATACGCTTAAAGTCTGCCTTGATAAGTATGTTTACACTGGACCTAGGCAAAACCACTGAAGAGCAAGTCTTTTCTTCATTTTTATCACATTCACATATGCTTTGACCACTACTGCTTGTACCCTCCTATTGATATAAATCAGATCATCTGAGGATGTCACACATAAGCTGGGATCAATTCTGAAAGTTTTTCTAATGTTTTTCCTTTCTCTGGGCAGCCAGTAAGGAAAACAAATTAGTGTTAAGTGACTTGCATTTAAGTACACTCATACATTCTGCCTAAGTTTCCCAGTAATGTTGGAATATTGCTAAAGCCCTTTCCCTGTTTTCCATCTATGTACATCTAAACACCTTATTGGGAAAGACTGCAAAGTTTTAAAATACAAACAGATTTGTGATTTTTTAAGTAAGTAACATTCAACATAGGAATACTTTTGCAGAATTTTCTAAAATATATTTTCATATCATAATTTTGAACTTATAGACAAGGATCCTCAAACCTTCAAGTTTCATCTTAGGATGGTGCTTAAATACATCAGAGACAGAGATATAGTCCAATAACAGGAAAGAAATGTCTCATCACACTTTCACTGTTTTGGGTTGTTAGGAAAAGGTGATATTGAACTTATAAATAGATCTGATCATCATAGGAGATAAGTGTTCATTATACAGCATAGGATATCATTACTTGAATGTTCTCAGGGAGGCAGCACGTAGGTTGTAGTTCTAGCTTCATCTACCAACTGTGTGACCTTACTTCACCTCTGAGCCTTGTACTCACTAGTAATAGAAAAATAATACCAACTCTGCCTACTTCACAAGGATGTTGTGAGGGTATAATTGGTATATGTGAAAACTTTCAAAATTGTAAAATGCTATATATATATCTCTAAGGACTTACTAATGTGTTTGTTCCAAGATTCTTAATAAAAAATTGAACTCATCCTTTACCTTTCATTATTGACTTGAGATTCAAGAAAGATGAACAAGTCCTGGTAATTCTGAGGCCCAAACAGCAATAAAGATTAAATGGATGAACTAATCGTAAATCAGGGAATCACTTGCTTTTATTTGGAACCAGCATGTGACTCAAGATAGTGAAGCCTAATGAGTGAAAGAATGCAGGTTTACAAATGCCCAAAAATAGATGACTGGATTAAGATGTGGTGTATGTGTATATATATATACCATTGGAATACTATTCAGCAATCAAAAAAGATAAACTCATGCCATTCGCAGCAACATGGATGGAGCTGGAAGGGATTATGCTCAGCGAAATAAGCCAGAAATTAAAAGAAAAATATCGGATGGTTTCACTTATAGGAGGAATGTAGAGGAACCAAATAAGGGATCAGGGAAAAAAATAACTATAATAAGGTAAAAATCAAAATCAACAGGCAACCATAAACCAGAGACAGTCTATAGGGAAGGGGGAGGGAGAGGGATCAGGATAAGGGACTATGGTGATGGTGCAGGGGTGAATTGGTGGTGGGAATTTCATGGGAAATCATACATTGTACAAAAATGAAAGATGATGTAAAGAATACAGATTTAAATCTGTTAAAGTAACATCTTTGGTGTGATGCCATACATATAATTGAGATTAAAAGCTGTTCATTCATGTACTAGGTCAATTCTTGGGTGGTTTCAGATAAAGACTGGTTTATCTAGCTTCAACTATAACTTAAAGCAGGCTCTTGTCCCCTAGCTTTTTTTTTTTTAGATTGATTTATATAAGAACAGGGGTACAGGCCAGATGCGCGGGCGGGTGAGAGGATTCACCAGAGACAGAGTGGGGAACAGAACAGGCAGAATGACTGAAATACACTGCTGAGGGGAGCAGCGCATGAGACAGGAGAGGTCTGCTTCGCCATGTGGGATTCTCATCGGCCTGCCGGGGTTGAACCCACGTTGCAGAGACTGCGGACAGCTTCACAGTGTGGCGCTCAACCGCCTGCGCCACAAGGGAGGCCCATTGTCCCCTAACTTCTAGGTGAAATTTCAAAGATCTACTGATGATGAGTGGTGTAAGGACATAATTGTCCCAGGTTGTTCCCTTTTCAAGGAGGAAAAAAAGTCTTTGATCATGAATATAGAAATATAGATGGCAGGGGCAGAAGATGGAAGATACAATATACTCTATAGTCTAAGGAATCCAGAATGAAGGGGAATTACTCAAGTGGTAGGAAAGAAAAAATAAAGCAGGCACAGAACAGTATATATAACATAGCACCATGTATACTTTAAATATATTGATATGTATATATACACATAGATGTGCTTTTTCTATGCATTCAGTAGCTCTAAACTAAAGGAAATTAGCCTTAGACTGTTCCTTCTAAGGCAGAAAATTGGGAGCTAGGGGAGGAATCTTCTCATTATGTACCCCATTTTGACTTTTATATTGCTAGAGGTTTTTTCAAGATACATTTTTATTTATTTATGCATACAAGAATTGGGGTGTAGGCCAGAGGTGCAAAGGATGAGGATTCACCAGAGACAAGAGTAGAGAGCAGAACAGGTGGATTACCTGAAATACACTGCTGAGGGGAGAAGGGGGCAAGACAGGAGAGGTCTGCTGCACCATGTGGGTTAGTTCCCTGGCCTGGGATCGAACTCAAGCCATAGTGGCTGGCAATAGCTTGATAACACTGAGACTTTAACACCTGTGCCACCATGGAGGCCCTATTGCTAGAGGTTTTAGACATAAAAAGGTAATAAAAGGAAGCAGGAAATACTAGGCTAAAGGGATAGAATTTATTTATGGCATAAAGATTTTAATTTTTTTCTGTATGTAGACATCCATATATTGTCTGGGGGATAAAAGTGAATTTGCCACCCTGAAGCCTAAATCTTTGCAGTGTTTTAAATTTGTATTAAATCAGGACACACTACCCTGCACTATTCTAATTTATGTGCGCCTAAGTTTTTCATTATATACATTCTTCTTGACCAGATTATAAATTCCTTCAGGATATAAATGCTATTTTATATTCCCATTAAGTCCTAAGCTTAAAGACAGGTATTCAAATATTTGGCTATTTGCATTTCCGCTCTCATGCTGTAGATTAATGAACCAAACATGGGGTAAGACCCTTCAAACAGTCTACTACAAAGGTACAATCAGGAATTGATGGATGGATGAATTGGAAGTTGTAGAGTATGTGCTAGGTTTATGGGTGTTTAGTTCTTTCAGTTCCTCTATACATTTGATAAAGTTAAATGTTGGGGAAGGTAAGTAGTCAGGCAGAAAAGTCATCAGTATGCTAAAGTTCTGGCCCAGCTGTGACATTAATTTGGTGGGTCTATGGGTAATCTCTCACATCACAAAAGATTAGAATTCCTACTTCCGAAACCCTACCTCCATTCCCAAATGGTAGTATTACCATTTAGAATTGTACAAGAAACATGGTACATTTTAATTTTTTTTTAATTTACTACAACTATGGGGATTAATTAAAATAGAAAATGAATGTGTATGTGTTGTTGATAAACAAAATGAATTTTCAAGAGAAAATTTGAAGCTTCAGTTTTTTTGTGTGTTTCAGGCTGCTACCAAAACTTTCTTTAGCCGGTCTCTCCATAATTAAACAAAAATGTCCTAGTTTAGAAGTATAATTTCGGGAGTGAGACACAATGAAAAATTACCACCACACCAGCCTTTTGAGTCATACAAACCTGGACTTGAATCCTTGTTGTCACTTACTAGCTTGTGATCCTGCCCAAAAGTTTAATTATGTCTTCATTCATAAAGGTAAAAATACATATCTGTAGGTAAAATAATGCCCAGCACAGAAATTCTGGTTCAACATGGCCTTCTGAAATCGCATGTTTATGTCTGCTCACTCCTGAACCCCATTAAAATGGCAGGAAAGGGAAAGGAAGGGAAAATTAAAAGGAAAATGAAAGAATGTCATTAAATTTTCAACAGTGAAGTGAAGCAAATCCTTCAGATCTAAAAAATGATATGTAGGCTAATGTCTACTCATAACAAGAGACAAGTGTAAGGGTTGAATAAAGATATTTCAGAAACAAAGTCTCAAAAAATTTGCCTTATAGGTACTCATTCTCAGGCAGCTAATGAAGTCTTGTGTTTCACAAAAAGGAGAGAAAACCAAGGAAGAGGTAAAGGGGTCCAGGAAACAGGAGGTCCATCACAGGATGTAAAAGGAAACCCCAAGGTGGGCCTCCCTGGTGGCGCAGGCAGTTGAGCACAACGCTGTGAAGCTGGCCAAAGTTTGCAGTGCAGGTTCGATCCCCGGACCCCAGCAAGGGTCCCACATGGCGCACAGATCTCTCCTGCCGCACCCGCTGCTCCCCTCAGCAGTGTATTTCGTCATTCTGCCTGTTCTGTTCCCCACTCTGGCTCTGGTGAATTCTCTTACCCTCCCGCACTTCTGACTGTACCCAGTGCTTATATAACTAAAATAAGTAAATCCTTAAAAAAAAAAAAGAAAAAAAGAGCTGCAGAGCAAACCTACAGGGCAACAGGACAAACTGAAACAGGAGCAAAAAGGACTCCAGGCGGGATGTCCCCAATAAAAATTAACAAATTTACCTCATATCTGTTTATATTTGGAATGAATCAGTGGTAAATACATAGAAAAAAGACAACTTTAAAAAAAATCATTAATTCCTAATTAAAATGTACTAAAGTTTAAATACAGTAACATAAAACAGTTTAGCTGTGACTAATACTTATAATCACAATGTAGATTGTTTATCTAATCTAGAATTATGATAAAACTAATAGGAGATGAAGGGGAAGTATATGAGGGACAGAGACTGTAAGAGCTAAATCTCCCCATGTATGAAACTATTACCCTTTTTAAAACATCAAGAAATAAACAGTGTAAGTGTGCTAGAGACATGGAAGTAAATACCAGAAAAAATGGTTAAGAGTTGAAAGTGGGGACCTCTCTGGTGGTGCAAGGGATTAAGTCTCAGCCACTGCAACTCCTGTTCAATCCCAGGCCAGGGAGCTACCCACATGGCGCAGCAGACCTCTCCTGTCTTGCCTGCTGCTCCCTCAGTGGTGTATTTCAGTAGATCTGCCTGTTCTGCTCCCCACTCTGTCTCTGGTGAATCCTTTCACCCCCACACCTGTGGCCTACACCCTAGTTCTTGTATGCACAAATAAATCTTTTTAAAAAGAGTTGCAAGTGGGTACCTCAAGAGAATCACAAATGGGAGGAATGGACAAGGCCTATTTTTTTGTTATAAACCTTGATTAGTCATGTATAACTGATAAAAATAAAACTAAAAAATAAAGCACCTATCACAATTTCTGCCATAAAGTAGGCCCTCAATAGTATCAAAAGACATTTATCTAGTAATTCCCTACCCACCCTCCACTGCTACTGCCCTTTTTCTTACATTCAGAAATGTAGATGATAGCCCTTCTTCAAGATTCTGTTCTCTCGGGCTTCCCCAGTGGCGCAGCGGTTGAGCGCGGGGTTGCGAAGCTGCCCGCAGCCTCTGCAGTGCTGGTTCGATCCCCGGCTGCTCCCCGGCCACCAGAGGAGGGTCCCACATGGCGCGCAGACCTCTCCTGCCGCCTGCTGCTCCCCTCAGCAGTGTACTGCGGTCCTTCTGCCTGTTCTGCATCCTGCTCTGACTCTGGTGAATTCTCTCACCCTCCCGCGCTTCTGACTGTACCCAGTGCTTGTATGAATAAATAAATAAATAAATAAATCTTTAAAAAAAAAAAAAAAAAGATTCTGTTCTCACCCCAACAAAGGATGACAAGAAAAAAAGACCCCAGTTTCAATGGATAATTTTTATTTACTAGATCACCAACTTCATATCCCTCTTTCCCTACAACTAGAATTTCATCTTGTTTCCATGCTGCGTGGTGAAACAATGACAAAGCTAATCCGAACAAACTACTTCAAAAACAAGGACTAAGCAAACACAGCTCACTTTCCTTTAACAGGCAAAATATAAATATATGCACTCTACACAATGGATTAGTGATTCAAGTGGGATCTTGAAGAATGTAGGAAAATCCAGGGTGCAGTAAAGATGAGCTGAGATGCTGTGCAACTGTTTAAGGGTTCCTGGTGATGCATCTCTTGGCCACTAGCTCAATCTTGTAACATGGAGGATGATTTTAGCTAATGCCAAGTGGAGATGCAGAAAGCACTGAGTTGACCTAGGG